ATGGACAACTCCCTTACCGTTCTGTCAAAGCTTTTCTATATGTTATTATCCCACCTTCGCCAATTACTGTCAAGAAAGCATGGGCTTTTGCGTACTAGGTCTGGTGGCCTGCAGTTGCAACTGAACTGATTAGTAAAGCACTGTCAGCAGATGATTAAATCACTAAAGTGCCTTTTTTTCACTATTTGTTCTTTCTGTGTGATCTAACATAGTTGTTAATGAAAAGGTTTTGAAGCTTTATTTTGTTTTGCATATACCATCCAGTTAAGAAAAGAACTAGAGCTTTTATTTGGCCAAAGAAAGAAATCATCCTCAATCAAGGGAAGCAATACCGGTGTAGAGATATGATGACATTGTCAAAGATAGTTTGAGGTTTTAGAAAGTTGGGCCAAAGAGAGCCATGCAGTTGTTGGATGCTGACGTGCCAGTACATCGTTAATGAGACTAATTCCAGTATTTGGGCCCAAGTTGGTAATTTGTACGGAACTCTTATAAAGGTGCAGGTAAAAGTCATCTTCAATCAGTTAGATAGTGATACCATCATGTTGATGCTTATATGATTTTGTAAGTTGAGTATGATTTCTTGACTTGCAAAACAGATTTTCGTTTTTTATTAGCTTTTGCTGATGGTATTTTGTTCTTTCTTTGTAAAAGTCATGCTTCAAGCTGAGTAATGTTTCCTCGTAAGATCTTTTGTTACCCTAGATTGTGTTCAGTTTTATGTATGGGAATCTTTATGTTTCATTGCTATCATTTCCCATCTGAAATGGATCAATGTTATATATACTAATTCCTTGAACCAGGAGCCGTGGGGCAAAGGACCAGTATCACTCTCCAATGCGATCTGGGTCTGTATCACATTCTCCGTCTCCTCGGGAGCACAAGGTTAAGCGGTCCAGTAAGAGGTCTCCAAGTCTGAGGGAAGATAGTCGAAGTCCCATTCAGGAGAGGGGTTATCCGGCAGGCAGGTCCCATAGTCCAAGGGGCAATATTCACGGTCCTTCAGGGTCTCGTTCGCGGTCTTACAGGTATATCTGTTGTTTTTAAGTCTTGGTCTGGGACAATGCGTCTCTTCCATGCACTCTAGCTAATTGTCAAATAATTTCTCATTTCATCAAAGAATCGTTTTGTTTTAATATGACCTTGGCAATTAGGTTGGCATGAAACTTGATAATTATTTTATGTTGCAAATTTAGTGGTCGACAATAAATGGCCTAAGTTATTATGTTGAGATAGATCTGTGAGGATTCCTTCAGGTGTGTACGATGCGTTCTTTATTGATATTTTATACAGTTTTAGGTGCCGTACCTATAGCAATTGATATTTATCAGGTGATTGCTTTTGCTGGGACACACATGTGCTGTTCCATTGACAAGAAAATTGATAAAGAAGGTAGATTACTTCAAATTTTCTTATGGAAAAAAGTATTGATACTTTGAATTTGCATGAATGAAGCATGTTCCCTCGTTATGTTGTTGGAATTCAGCACATTTCCATTTACTACTAACCAATAGCTAGTGGATTTATCTGGTTTATGATGGCATAGTGCTAGTATCTACGGTTAGCATATTTTCTGTTAAATGAAGTACTTTCTTTTGGGCATTTCCTGTGCAGCCCGCACTAAGAGCATCCTGAGTAACAAGCACGGGGCTTGCAGTCAAGATGGTGGTATGCCGGTGATGGTTCTTTGCAAAGTGCACTTCCAAGTATCAAAGTGAACGTTGAAGAATGTCCTTTTGGAGATCCTGTTGCTCTCTTTGAATCCTAAATATCGTGGATTAGTCTATATGCTTTAGAAATGCTTTGTACGTTTTTGTTGGAGTTGAGCTTTGTGAACGTCAAGTGCAAGATGGTTGTTGGTTGCTGGTGACTCTTTTAAGTCCTATGTTTGGCCTTAATGCATGGCTCTTAACTTTATACGTGTGCCTGGTTTTTCGTTATCGTCGGTTTAATGTGCCCGGGCTAAGACACCAGATAACTGTGTGGTATCAAGCGTCTACTGTCTAGAATGCCCGTTGTGGATTTTTCCAAATTGTAAAGAGTCGCTGAGCTGAAACTGTCGTGGTGCCCTTGTGAGCCTAGCCACAACCTCAGTCAGGATCTTCTTTTCCTTGTGTTTTCCTCTTTTATATTCAGAAAGCATCAGGGTGATGGAAAATTCAGGGCCCCTTTTTCATCAGATAGCTTTTTCTAGCAAGATCCGAGTAGGTGGAAATAGGGGTGTGCAAAAGAACCGGGACTCGCCCGGATCACCTGGGACCGCCCATAATCAGACCGGAACCGGTCCGGTTCCCAAGGGAACCGGTCCGGTTCCCAAGGGAACCGGTCCGGTTCCCGGTTCCTAGTGTGGAACCGCCCACTTGGACCAGATCGGTAATATAATAATAATATATTTATTTTTTTAAAATTTTAATTAAAAAAATCTGACCAAAAAAATTTAAAAAAAGAAAAGAAAATGGGAGAGTTGTTTTGTTTGCTTGTTGACTATTGTGAACTTGTGGTAAACTCCTACGTGTGATATATAATATAGGATACGGATGTATTTGATGTGAAGCTTGTGAAGTTGTGAATTTTGTGACAAATCTTGTTGTGATGTGTAATTGAACTTTGTGGCAAATCTTGTTGTTATTGTTTTGGATGGTTTTAAGCTCATTCAATTTGTTAGCTTAAATGAGAGCCTCTTAACTCTTGAGATTTGAGCAAGTTGTCAGACCATTTTAAATGGAAGTGCATGACTTTTGCATCAGACTAGTGAAATCAAATGCCAAAGTAGGGGTGTTCTGTGTATACTGAAGATACATCACACGTGCATTAAGGTAAGTCAAAGTAGCATGTGGTGAACATAACCCACCAACGGGTCAAGAATTAGACTAGTCTATTTTTTTATTTGTCCAGGAAAACTTAGTGGGACTGATTCCATGGACCCACCCAGGAACTGGACCGGATTGGCGGTCCGATTCTCGGGTGGGTCCATGGAACCAGCGGGCGGTTCTCGGTTCTAATATTTTGGAACCGGTCCTTAGAGGGCGGTCCACGGTTCCGGGATGGGAACCGCCCACCCGGATTATGCTCACCCCTAGGCGGAAAGAGGTCCTAAGAGTTACCCGGTCCCCGGAGTTGGTCCCAGTTCTGTATTTAACTGCGGTCGATCTGTAACGAGCTACTTTGTCTTCCTTGTGATCATCCGAAGACACTCCCCTTGTACCTAAGCCAATTCTTGCTAATTTGATGGTCGCCTTCGTGAAATCAAGTGTGGAACAGGAACAGTTGCGCATTTGTGTCGATTTTCAATGGTCATCTTGCTATCGTGCGTTAGTTATCCATTTGCGTAGGAATGTTAATTCCACGCGACGATCTTTGTGCCCCTCTGTACCTTAAAGGAACAACCCGGTTTTGTCGCAACCAAATGCAGCCTAGGCTACCAAATGCCAGCCTGAGCCTAAGCGAACCCAACGTCAATGCAATTTGCTGGGATGGGTCATTTGAATTTAAATCGATTGGTCAAAATATAATGCGAACATCCTCGGTGCAGCGGGCATGTCTTGATGCCCCGACGCGCTCAACTGTCATCGCGCCTCGATCGCCCCAGCGTTAGAGACTGCAAGAGATGTCAATCGTCGATGTCGCGTAAGGAGAGTGGTGTCTAGATGCACTAGGAGGCCACCTTGAACCTGCACTACACAGCTAGTCAACCTGATCAGGATCGAACTCAAATCCATCCGAAGAACTAAGTCCGAGTCCATTGAATTAGGCCACCACCACCCCTCTACGATGTCCATTGAGGTAGAATCGAAAAAACTTGGAAATTTTCTTTTCTCAAAATAAATACAAAAAATAATAAATATAAAAAAATAGACTTGAGTCCTCACAAATTTACAATGATGCAGATCTATTAAAAAAACTCGATATATATATATATATAGAGGCAATGTGTAGCCTTTTATAACTCAAAGGCATGGGCGCCGAGATTCGGTAGACTTAAAACTCATGGAACACCCTATAAAAAATTTATATTTACAAAAGACTCAGTGCTATTTCCACGCTCAAAATGGAGAAAAGGTTGAAATGGATAAAAAAAAATAAATCAAGAAATGTTCTCATGTGAGTGGAAAGCTCCATTTATTTCTTATTCACTTGCTAGAGACACCGAGATCAACATATTCAATTAGTTCAAATCTTGTAACACTTAGAATGCGTTTATTTCACGGAAAATGTACAATTTCTGGAAACCACTTTCTAGGAAGTCATTTTCAAGGGAAATGAGTTCATTTTCCGATGTTTGGCTAAAATCTAAAAAAGACTTGATAAATATTTTCAGTTGTTTGATGAGGAAAATCTGATGGTGAAAATTATCGCAAATTTTTATATTTTTTAAATTATTTTTATTTTGGAAAAAGAAAGGCCATCAACAGGCGGAGGGAGGAAAAAAGAAAAAGAAAATAAAAAAAAGAAGAGAAAAGAAAAATATTAACAAATTCAAGATAAACAATTTTGGAAAGTGTTTTTCACTTCCTTAGATTAGGGAATTCACTTTCCTAATTTTATACATGAATGTTTCCTTAATTGAAAAGTGTTTTTAGTTGACTTATCATTTTCGGCGAACCAAACGGGTGAAAGTCCGGAAAACGAATTCCCGGAAAACACTTTCCCTCAAACAAAAGCACTCTTAGAGTGTGTTTCATTTCACGGAAAATGAGTAATTTGAAAAATATTTTCTAAAAAATGATTGTTTATATCGTTTAGAAAAATTAATCAAAGGAAAACATTTTCATCACCAATAACAATCTATGCCTAACTATTTTCGTGGGCAACGAAAAAAATTTCCATTCATTTATTTTTCTAAACGATATAAGCGATCATTTTTCGAAAAATATTTTCCAAATTACTCATTTTCTACGAAACGAGTGCACCCTTAGACAATAAATAAATTACTAAAAAATTCAATAATTCACCATTTTCCCACCTCTAATGGAAACGGAAGGTGGCATTGGCACAAAACCTTTCAACAAGGAACGCGTTCATCAGTAGTTAAGCGCAAAGGAGTAGACTTATTGCTCTCAGACATTTCAAAAAAGACTAACTTGAGCTGTTCAAGCGCAACATCTTGACAACATTCAAGACACAGTTTGAACCACAGCAGCATCTGCTCCTTGCAAGCTGCTCTAAGTTATTAAAGAGTCGAGACTTTGAGGTACTGAACCCCCCTTTTAATTACAACGGGCATGCCTTTTCAAAGGCTTGCTGCTCTTTGCGGCATAAATCGAACTCGTTTGTGTGGTAATACATGCAACCAACATAAGCATCCATCTCTTTTGTACACCTCTGGTGAAGATCTTTCAGTCTGCGCAGCCAAAAATACATGGTTTAGATACTACAATGGAAAGAGGTATGTAAATTGCAACAACTACTTTTATCAGTTGAAAGGGGTGTCACAAATTTTTTCAGCACCTCTATTTAAGGCTCTAAAAAATCCATTTGCATCTGTATACTTCTGTGGGCAAACGTCATGAATCATTGACAGTAAAGCTTATAGCTAGTTTATTTGCCAATGTAAGCATTGTGCAGCCCAAAAATGAAGACAGACTAATGCGATGACTAAGAGGCCCACGAGTATGTATGCATCTAAAACTGCGAAAAGAAGTAGACTGCATTCCTCTCACTTGAAGTCGAAAGTGCATAGCCCATAAGTCAGTCACAAAGCCGAGTGCTCTCTATATCAAGATCATCAAGTATCTAATATGAAATCCCCTTCATCAATTTGTGTAAGCAAAGTCTACTGATCCAAGCAAATGTGCTAGATCCCGCACAACGCATCTTTATTATTACTTATGGAAAGGAAACTTAAACGCACTGATTCTGAAGCAATAAATCTTTAAATGCTGCACAAAACAAAAGCCTGTATGACTACCTTCAAAACAGAATTACTTGTTCTACCAAGAGATTTGGTATTTTGATCCGGAACTAAAACCTGAGGTTCTTCTAAACTACATCTGATTTAAGCAAGCCAATAAAGAGGTCTAAGGAAAGAAGCTTTCAGCCAGTTACAAAAGGAGCTCCATGTGAAGTACTCTGTACAGTGGTACATTTTGTATGAATGAATGAAATAAGGATGGTGGGCGTTGAGAAAGGAATAGAATCAAAAGAAGAATATTCTTAGGTTATGCATGGCAATCATTTTGTACCCGCAAACAGATTCTGCTCAGAAATGATTGTTTTTTATTCTGTGTCCGGAAATAATTTCTACGCATTTGAAGGCATTTGGTAACTGCCCAAAATTTCTATTCTTAGAATAGAAAAAGAACAGAAATGCGTTTGGTAAGTACACAAAATTTAATTTTATTAATATTTTGAATTTTTTAATATTTCTTTCTTTTTTTCCTTTTTTTTTTTCCTTTTTTTCCCTTCCCTTCCTTGGCCATGGCTGGTTGCCGGCACCTGCGAGGGTGTCGCGGCCCTCGCTGTTGGCCTTGCCGGTCACGACGGCGAGGTCGGCCTCGCCCAGCTAAGGCGAGGCTGACCTCGCCGTCGCCACCCAGGCGATGGGCCTGGGTGGTGACAGTGAGGCTGCGAGCCGCCCTCGCCGGCTCTGGCTTATGGCCGGTCGTCGATAGCCAGCAGGCCAAAGAACAACAACAAACCAAAAAAAAGAAGAAAATCAAGAATAATCATAAATGGAAAAATTGTTCCAAAATCAAGAAGCAACTTTTTTTTGCTTCTTGATTTTGTTCCACAACTGATTCTGGGAACAATTTTTTGCAAAATTGTGCCCGGGCACAAAAAATTTAACAAACTGATTTCTGCTCCTAAACTGATTCTGAAAACAAAATAAGAGAAATTTTTACTATTTGGCAAGTTGTCAAACAAGCCCTTAATGTTTGATTCTGATGGAAAAATGGAATGCCGCTTGCTTGTGTTTTTTCTCCATTCCACTCGAATGACCCTTGCATTGAAGTGGCAAAGCTAAATGAGCCTTTTTTTCCCTAATGTACCTTTCCTTCTCTCTCTCTCTCTCTCTTACTTTTACGGAAGAGACGAATTCAAGAACACACACGCAAGGGGCATTCTGTTAGAATGATACTTCCTATTCTAACACAATCGTGTTAGACACCGAGTGGAATGTGGGCATAAAGAAGATTAAACTGGCTATTGCATTCCATTTCAAAAGTTTGGCATGTTTAACCGCGTAAGAACATAGATAGCTAAAGACTGGCCATATGAGAACAGTGAAGCGAGCGAATGTCAGATACCCGATACCACGTTCTGTGCTCTCCTGACCATCATGACTAAATTACGAACTCGTATACCCAGTATGCAAACTACCTTATACCGATACCTTTCCCACTACTATCATCAGTTGCTAATGATTCTAATTGCCCATTTCGACAACATTCTCGTGTACCCTGTGTGCAAACTACCTTATACCAAAACCTTTCCCACGACTATCGTCAGTCGCTAATGATTCCAATTTGCCCATTTCGACAACATTCTCGTGTACCCCAGACGCAAACTGCCTTATACCAAACACCTTTCCCACTACCATCCTCAGTTGCAAATGATTCCAATTGTCCATTTTGACAACATTCTCGCATACCCCGTATGCAAACTACCTTAAACCAAAACCTTTCCCCCTACCATCCTCAGTTGCTAACGATTCCAATTGCCCATTTCGACAACATTCAGAAGCAACTAAGAAAATCCAAAGGGTCTACTCTTTTGAAGTTTTCTCAGCAAACATTCCCAAATCACATACGCCAACCAAACGACCCAAGCAACGCTCTACACTTGCTCACATTCAAGATAAGCGAACAAACGATGCAACAACAACAACAAGGACAATCATATCGAAAGAGTGCGCGACTGAATCGGGAGGCAGCAAGAGAGAAGAGAAAGCACGGCTCACAGATGAAGCACGCAGCGGGTGACTTGCTGGCCTTTCTCGAGGCACCTCTCGGGGTTCGGGTCCTTCTGCTTGCACTTGAGGAAGGCCACGTTCTCCGACCGGCAGCTCGCCCCGATGTGCTTCGACGACGCCGTCAGCGCCGCCGACGTCGGGATCGGGCCTCCGGCGGCATCCAGCGGCGTCGCCATTCCGGGTCGATATCGAATTTGTTGTTTGGGTTTTTCTTCTTCCTTGCGACACAGAAGATCTCGAGAGAGAGAGAGAGAGAGAGTGTGGCACTACCTATTGTGTTATTTTTTTACTTTTTAACCCAGTGACTATTCTCAATATCCGCAGCGAAAGTAATTCTTCTAGAATAATTCTTTTTTATGAGAGTTAATACTACAAAAAATCCTAAACTGATATGTTTGTGATAAATTTATCCCATACTAATTCTTTAATTACCAAAAATCCGAAACTGGTATACCCGTGATAAATTTACCTTCCGTTAGTTTTCGTTAAATTTTACCGTCTAATTGCTGAGTTGGATGATACGTGACAGTTGACGGGTGTACCATTTTAATATTTTACCCCTTTGTTTGTCACATATTTATCAATTTATGATTTTTCGTGGTATTAATCCAATTTAATGGAGGGTATATATGTCGTAGGTGTACCGGTTTAGTGTGTTTGGTGGTCAAAAAATTAGTTTGGGGTAAGTCTGTCACAAATATACTAGTTTGAGGTTTTTGATGGTAAAAAAATTAGTTTGGAGTAAATTTGTCACAGGTATACTGATTTGAGATTGTTCGTGGTATTAACCCTTTTTACAAATCAAACGAATTATTGAGAATTTTTACAATGGTTAATTGATAAAATTCAAATCATGTTGAGCTGCTTTATGTTTTCGAAAAGTATTTGTGGTTATATATATACATATAATGAAATTTTCACAAATTAGATTTCAAATTTACTTTCTCAAGAGATTTATTATCAGTGAAATTCGGGATAATATTAAAGGTTAATACTTCAAAAAAAAATCTCAAATTGATGTATTCGTTCCGCATTTATCTCAATCTAATTTTTGTGTCATGAAAGATTCCAAATCGATATACTCGTGATACATTACCCTGAACTAATTTTTGTGACACAAAAAAAATTCTAAACCGGTACGTTCGTTTGTGCCACATTTATCTCAAATTTGCTCTTAGATTTTGATAAACTTATCGTGGGTGCACTACTTTGAGATTGTGTAACCAGGTTGGAATTTTTGATAGGGTTAGTCCTAAAAACTAAATTTTTTTTCCAGCCTTAAGTTTTTTTATCAACCGACTTGTCCCAAGAACCCAAAGTCGGGTTTTGAAGGGATACTTTCGTGATTTCGCGCACGCACGCGAGCGTTCCTATTTACGAGAGAGAAATTCAGAGGTATTGTGTTAGGGTTAATCTCTGATTAGTGTTTATAATTAATGTTTCAAGAACCAAGAGAAAACTCGTGATTATATTGTGTGCATTGCGACTTAATTCGACCGGTTCGCTTACATTCGCGAATATCTTTGTTTTAGGAACTTCTTGTGTCTCAATTCATTAGTTGTGTGTTCTTATGTATTTAGAAATGAAGTTCAAACTAAGTGTATTTGCGCCGAAATTACAAGAGCCGGAGAAATGCCGGGCTTGCCAGTTAATTGTCGTTTGAGTTCGACGAACCCGGAACTTCGGCGCAACGGCAGTTCTTGTGCCTTAAACAGGCGACAGACGATCAAGAAAGGAGCACAAACTTGATCTTGGATTTTGGAAGTCGAGGTCTAGAACGGTTCGAACTCCCTATTGCGGGGTCTCGAGATCGATGGCAGGAGATCTTGAGCTAAAGCTTTAGACTATATTAGATCTATACATCGCTGGAAAGTGAAGGTATAAGAAATTGAAGAACAGGAAAAGTTGGAAGTAAATTTATGAAATGACTGAGATATCCTCCAATTCCACTCACACTTAAGGTCGACATTGTACATATACATTCGAATGGATCAAGTTGCCGTTCGATCTGAAGAATGCTAGAGTTGGATGACATTATCGTCAAGTCAAAAGAGGTAAGTCATCTTGACTATCTTTAACAATTATTTGTTAGGATGGAGAAATATCAATGAAAGATGAATCCTCTTAAATGTTCATTTGGTGTGAAAGTTGGTAACTTTTCAGGATTTTTGGTTAACCAAAGAGGAATAGAAATTGATAGCAATAAGGCCAAAGTAATCCTAGAATTGCCGGCAGAAACAACTAAAAAACAATTGCAAATAGTGATAGGAAAGATAAACTTTCTGCATAAATTTATTGCAAATTTATCTGGTAAAATAGAAGCCTTTTCTCCATTATTGAAACTTGTTAGAAGTATCAAGGGCAAAGTGGTCTTTAGGACTCTTAGGATTTATTGGGTTACCATTGTATAAATACGGTATTTTGCTGAATAATATAATCAATTTTTCCCTCTCTAACATGGTATCAGAGCCACAAAAATTCTAAACCCTAAACAGCCGCTTACCTCCGTCTACCACCAGTCGCCGCCGTGAACCATCCACCGTCGACCATCAACCAACCCCCTTCAATCAACCCCCTTCTCACCGGAATCTTTAGATTTCGCGTTGCCCAGGCCCGGTGAGCCTTGCCGGGGCGTCATCTAGGCCGGCGAGCCTTGCCAGGGCATCGCCTGACGTCGCCTAGGCCCGGCGAGGCCAGATCTGGAGTCAGCAAGACCCAGCGACCCATGTAGAGACGTCACCCAGCGTCACCGAGGCCAGCAAGTCCAAATCCAGCGCTGTCCATCATCGGGGAGTTTTGTAGAGAGGTCATCCAGCATCAGTGAGGCGTCGTCCATTGTCAGTGAGCCAGATTCAGCACCCATGTCTCTCGGTTAAGACCCACAGGTTTGATTTTTTGGCGGCTTGATGGTTACTGAGCTTCACAGCAGGAATTTTGAGGCATTATTTGTTGATTAGGCTTGATAATGATGTGGGTAGCGCTTTATTAGAGATATGGATGTGTTTGTGGAATGTTTCTGAATTTTTTGGAACTTATGCGATGCTGATTAGGTGAATTTTGGAGATTTTGGAGTTAATTATTTGGGGCTCTAGTGGATTGATGCAATATTTGTTTTTCAATTGTGGTGGATTATTGAATTGTTAAGGATGGGTGATCCGAGTAAAATTGATGGTAGTTCTGGAAAGAGTGATACCATGACGATTGAGGTAATTTCCTCTTCATCTTCTCGAATTACTGACAAGAAGCTTGAGGGTATTACCAATTTTCAACAATGGAAGAAGATTGTTAAGTTTGTTTTGACGGGTAGAAATCAGCATATGCACTTGACTGAAACTAAACCTACTAATGATGCAAATTGGGATGTTATTGATGCACATCTTATGGGTCAGCTTTTGAACTCCATGGAGAGCAATATTGTAGACTTGGTAACTCATATTGATACAGTCAAGGACTTGTGGGAGTACTTAGATGTATTGTATTCTGGCCAGAACAATATTTCTAGGATATATGAACTATCACGGGAATTTCACCGATATGAGAGCAAAGGGCGTTATATTGATCAATACTTTGCTGATTTTAATAGAATGTATGAAGAATTGAATGCTCTCCTTCCTATTCCTTCTATTGCTGAACAAATGCGACTCCAAAGAGAATAGTTGGCTGTAATGAATTTTCTAGGAGGTCTTAGTTCAGCCTATGATACTGTTAGGTCTCAGATTCTTGGAGGAGAGACTATTGCGTCACTTAGGGATACATATGCTCGAGTTCTTCGAGCATCCCGTGGTTCTTCTTAGAGCACCATAGCTGTGGTTGATAATTCAGCTCTTGTTTCTCAATATCGAACTAGTGGAGGTAGGGGTGACGAAGGAAATCGTGGAGGGTATAATGGTCGTGGTGGCCGTGGTGGTCGAAGCACAGGAATAGGAAGAGGCCAAGGACAAAGACAGCTTTATGGATCGCTCCAAACTACTGCTGAAAGCTCAGGGACTATTCGAACTTGTCATTATTGTGGAAAACCTGGCCATATTCAGAAATTTTGCTACAAGTTACATGGTAGACCAGGACAGCAACAACAGTTTGCAAATGCTGCATCTGGCACTGACTCTTTGTCCCTACCACAGCCTTCACAAGGAAATGTAGTGGTTATGTCTGATGAGGAATTTGCACGGTACAACCAGTCTCAGATTTCACTACCTACTTCGTCTTCCATTGCTACTCTAGTCCAGACAGGTAATGCGACTGCATGCGTTTTAGCTAGTTCTCACCCTTGGGTCATTGATTCAGGGGTGTTTGATCACATGTCAGGTCTTTCAGGTATATTTTCCTCTCTTACTCCATCATTGTCCACCGTTACTTTAGCTAATGGTTCATCTACACATGTTAAGGGAGTTGGCATAGTTCATCCAACTCCTTCACTGCCTTTGACCTCAGTGCTTTATCTTCCATAATTTCCTTTTAATCTCATGTCAGTTAGTAAGTTAACTAAAACCTTTCAGTGTTCAGTAACATTCTATCCCGATTCTTGTATATTTCAGGATCTGGCTACGAAGAGGACGATTGGTAAAGGACGTAAGGAAGGGGGACTGTATGTGCTTGAAGACTCAACTTCCTTTGCATGTTCTGGTGTTACTTCTCTACATCAGATCCATTGTCGTCTTGGTCATCCTTCTCTACACAGTCTTTAGAGATTGAATTCCAGTTTTAAATATATTTCTAGTTTAGAGTGTGAGTCATGCCAACTTGGCAAATTACATCGTGTTAGTTATCCGCCTCGAGTCATTAAACGAACAGAGTCTCCATTTTTGTTATTTCATTCAGATGTTTGGGGTCCATGTCATGTGACTTCCAAGTTGGGTTTTAGATATTTCGTTACTTTTGTTGATGACTATTCCAGAGTTACTTGGTTATATCTAATGAAAAATCGTTCTGAGTTGTTTTCTATATTTCGCGCATTTATATCTGAAATCTGTACTAAGTTTGGTGTGCATGTTAAAGTGTTGTGTTCTGATAACGCTAAGGAGTACTTTTCTGCACCTTTTTCTGATTTTATGACACAACATGGTATGATTCATGAATCTTCATGTCCTGATACACCACAGCAGAATGGTGTTGCTGAGAGGAAGAATAGACATTTGTTGGAAGTTACTAGATCTATGTTATTTGAGATGAAAGTCCCTAAAGTCTTTTGGTCTGATGCTGTCTTGACTGCATGCTATCTCATTAATCGCATGCCTTCCTTTGTTCTATGAGGTGGTATTCCAT